CCACGCCCCATCCCTGACCCTACCACTTCCTTTCACCCGCCCGCCCCCGGGCCCTGAGTGCAGCGCACCCGTCCTCGCGCCCAGCGAGCCCCCCCACCGCCCCCCCACTTCGCGGACGCCTTTCCAGCAGCGCCCCCAACCGGCCAGCAGAGCTCCAGGCCTGCGGCCGGCGCGGCGAGGAACTAGAGCGAGGAAAGCGTGGGGCGCCGCTGCGCCTGCGCACTACGGTGAGGGAGATATTTCGCGCTTCTCGGCCCTTCGGGTAGGAACCTGGGAACTGCTCGAGTCCTTTTTCACGCCGGCTAACGCTGAGGAGCAAGCAGACGCGATTACACGATGCCCGGCGCAAGGATGCGGCGGGAAGACCCGCGAGCTGGAGTAGGGTTGAGGCGGGTCCCCTTCCCCTGCGACCCTGGTTCGGTCAAGTCCTGTCTGCCGACATCCCGGTGCCAAGCACTGGACTGGGGCGCAGGAACACTGCTCTAGATGACATGGCTGCGGGTCAGCGCCGTTCTGGAAGGCGTGTGGAGGAAATATTGAAGTTTGTATAATTGCAAAGGGGAAATCATTTTTTAACGTGAATCAAAGTGCAAAAACAGACGTGGAGAGTGCTGCTGACAGTGAAGAAGACCACCCCGAACTCAATGCATTTTAACACACGTGCACGGGAAGTAAAGAAGAAGACTTCTTAATTTCACAGGGACTCAAGGATCCTTCATGGGGTGGGGTTCGGAAGGTGAGGGGTATCACCCTGGTAGTTAAGAATCGTGGTTGAGGGCCCTCCCTGGTGGCGCACTAGGTTAAAATGCACACTATGACGCTCTCCACAGCCACTGCAGCAAGAGTTCGATCCCCGGCCAGGGAGGTCATCCGCATGGCGTGGCAGACCTCTCCTAACTTGCCCTCTGCTCCCCCAATTCTGTATGCATAAATAAATCTTGAGAAAGAGTCCTGGTTGAGGAGTAGGCAGATTGTTGTTGACTTGTTAAGTATTTTACAGGGCCAGAACTAAGATGAGGCTAATGAGAGCCACTTGCTCGGCTACTCCTTTTTCTTCTGGATTTAAAATAATCCAGTAATCAAGATGAATATTTTAGTGCAATAGCTTTAAAAATCAAAATCAATGCAAAAAAATCTATAGTGAAAAAATTAAAATTTCAAATATAGCAGCCACTTCTGCCCTCTGTAAGATAACCTCTCCAGTCCTAGCCTTGGAGTGTGCTTCATCTCACCTTATTTGGAGATGGGTGCTGGTAGGTAAAGCTAAAGGAATAGTACCCATAATAGTGGCGAAGACCAATCAGAACGCAATGTATTTTAATACACATGCATGGAAAGTCAAGAGGACTTTAAACCCTGCATTAAGTAGCCCTGTGGCAAGAACCATGCGATCCTCTAACTTTGAGCCTCTTAAGATGGGGCTTGTGGGCTGGGAAGGACAGAATCCTCAGATTAATCACAATTTAGGACCTCTCACCAATGCTCATATTCTAGAATGTAGTCTGAAATAGACTCCACTGATTTATTTTTTCACTTTTTAAAGATTTTACTATTTCTGCATACAGAACTGGGGTACAGGCCAGAGGTGCAGGGGCAGTGAGAGGATTCACCAGAGACAGAGGTGGGGAGCAGAACAGGTAAATTGACAAGGTACACAGCTGAGGGGAGCAGCGGAGAAGACAGGAGAGGTCTGCGGTGCCATGTGGATCACCTTGGTGTGGCGCTCTCATTGAGGCGCCTGTGGCTAGCTTTGCAGTGCGGTGCTTTAACCTGCTGGGCCACCAGGGAGGGCCTAGACTCCACTGATTTAGAAATAGCATATTCCCTTTGGGAGAGGTTTTATGAATTGACTTCTGAAAAGAAGAAACATAGTACATCTCATACCCTACTTCATGCATTTTGCTGCCTCTGGTTTGAGCCCAATTGAAACAATGTTAAAGATTGATATTTTCCCTTCCTAACGAAAGTTACAATTTTCACTCAAATCTCTTTCTCTTTCACCTTCTCTACTCTCTAGTAAAGGACTGCTGTTGCAGGACTGGAAAAGGCAGGGCTTTGCTTTCAGCCCCTCTAGCATTATGTTATCCACACCGTGCAGCAGACCTCTCCTGTCTTGCCCACAACTCCCCTCAGCAGTATATTTCAGTCCATCTGCCTGTTCTGCCCTACACTCTGTCTCTGGTGGATCCTCTCACCTGCTGCACCTCTGACCTGTACCCAGGTCTTGTATACATAAATAAAACTTAAAAAAAAAAAAAAGTTCAAATCCTGTCCATAGAAAGACTCTCAATGGAGGCATGATTGAGCCAAGAGGTAAAATTTGGCCTTCAGTGCTGAGACTTAACAGGTTTAGTGGCCAACGGATGTCAATTTCAAAAAGGATGTCTTTTGACTGAAACTTGAGAGCTACTGGAATTACTTCAAGGACAATTCCACCTGTGAGTTCTTGGCCTTTGCAAAAGCAACAGGGAGAGCCTGTGGACAGCAGGATGGGCCTCTCTCTGCAGCACGATAACACAAAAAGCAAATGAAAGTCTCCCTGGCTGCGTTCTGTGATCTGATGAGGGGTTATTTGACCCTCTGAGTCTCCTTTCGTCTTCTTTTTTTTTTTTTTTAAAGATTTATTTATTTATTTGTACAGAAACTGGGGTACAGGCCAGAGATGCAGAGGGTGAGAGAATTCACCAGAGACAGAGCGGGGAGCAGAACAGGCAAATCGATGAAGTACACTGCTGAGGGGAGCAGCGGGCGGGTCAGGAGAGGTCTGCCACGCCATGTGGTCACCTCCGGGGCAGGTGGGAATCGAACTCATGAGGAAGTGGCTTTAGATTCTCAGTGCTGTGCTTTAACCCGCTGCGCCACCAGGGAGGGCCCCTTTCTTCTTCTTTTAACTCAAGCCTGCAGCTCATCCTTTGAGGGGCCGGGTGCAGGGTAATGGTGGAAGGTGGAGCCGCAGTTCAGTGAAGCAAGAACCAGGAAGAGGGTGGGACACTGCCCTTGTGGGTCCGAAATGCTTTGTAAATTCCTCTGATATCCAAGGAAAATTTTTGGTAGCAACTTTGCACTGTGCTTACAGTGAACCATGAGCCGATGACTTCAGCTCTTAGCAATATGACTCAGGCAGGCTGAATGCATTGTCAGTAGAAGCTTTCAGCATCTTTAGTAAAAGTCTCAACTCTCTCTCTCCTTTTCCCCACGATTCTAGAGAAAGATTATTATGGGTTGAACGGTGTCAATAATATGTCAAATACTATAATAATGTGTCAAAATCCTAACTCCTTGTACCTCAGAGGCCTTATTTAGACCTAGAGTTGTTGCAGATATAATTAACATGAGGTGGTATTGGAGCAGGAGTAGGGTGTATCCTTGTAAGTAGATGGCCATTTGAGGACAGCGACACAGAAAATGCCACAGGATGATGAAGACAGAGATAGGAGTTATGAACTGCAAACCAGGGAGTGCTGAATATTGCTATCAAGTCACCAGAATCCACTAGAGACCAGGAAGGATTCCCTGAGAGGTTCCAGAGGAAGCAAATCTAATACCAGTGTTTTGCATAATACTGCAACAAATCTTCAGGATTTATTCATTATCCATGCTTGACCAAAAAACAGAAAGAGCAGAAAAGCAGCAGTTATTCAGGCTATTCTAAACAGATCATATCTGCGTCTTAGTTTTATTTTACCCTAAGTACGTTTAACGGCTTTCCAGATTCCAAAGAACCTTGTGTGGTCTAATGAAATGAGCTCAGGGCTATTGTACAAAACAACTAGACGGTGAGCCTGACCCTACACTATCATATTTAGGCACAGAATTTTCTCTTATGTTGAGAGTCTGAGGTTAGATGCAGACATATAGAAAAGTCACCCATATTCATCCTTTTCTCATAGTGTTCTAGTTGCAGCTCATGGTGAAAAGACACATGGTTAACTGCAAGCTATACAACTATGTTTCTCAATCAGTTTGTGAATTTCTAACTACTTGTCTACAGCCTAAGAGGAAACTTAGGCTGTGAAAAAAAAATCAGGCAGTTTACTCAAAGGAAATGGATCAAACAAACATATTAAAAGAGAAAGAAATTCTTTTTTTTAAAAAAAGATTTATTTATTTGTGCATATAGAACTGGGGTACAGGCCAGAGACTCAGGGGTGGTGAAAGACTTCACCAGAAACAGAGTGGGGAGTAGAACAGGCAGATCGACGAAGTACACTGCTGAGGGGAGCAGCGGGTGGGTCAGGAGAGGTCTGCCATGCCATGTGTTCACCTACAGGGCAGGCAGGAATCGAACTCATGTGGAAGTGGCTTTAGCTTCTTAGTGCAGTGCTTTAACCCGCTGTGCCACCAGGGAGGGCCAAAGAAATTCTTTTTAATACATAATACGAGTCATGAAATCTGAAGTGACAAGTGGACATCCTTTTCCTTTACCAGCTTAGCCAAGATCATCTCC